GAAATCTTTTTTTGATTTTGAAAAATCGAGATCCCTTTCGATTCGTCCGAGTTGCACAAGTTCCCTACAGAACGTACGATATTATGTTCGAGACACAGGCTCGCGTTTACCACTTGCTACGTGATCGCTGCCAACGATTCACCCGTCATCTTTCAAATTCTTTCCCGTCACATGTCTCGATCGCGTAGCGCGATACAAAAAGGAGGGGAATTGGACGGTGACGGCGACGGCACGCGGACGACGCACGTTCGACGACGTTACGCGGTACACTGATCCTCCTCCTCTCGTCGGGCACCGACGTCGGGACGCCAGGCGTCGTGGAAGCTCGGCACACCTCGTGGCGACGCTCGGCGAACCTCGTGTCCACGGCTTTGGCCGTCCTCCAAAAAATCCTGTCCTCACCCTCTCTTTTTCTTTTTCTTTTCCCTTCCCTCTTCCTCTGCCATCCAGGATGGACATGAACGGATTGTAATTTCTTTTTTCTCTTTTTTCTTTCCTCGTTCGATTCGATTCGAAAAGATTCGAAATATATTGTAAACATAAGATGTAGGATGTATGATGCTTTTTTTTTTGTAGAATTGGAAAAATGATGAAATTATTGAAGCGAGGTATATCTGAGACACTTTTGATTAATTCAGAATGATGAAATTGTTGATGAATCTTTCTTTCTTTCGTTTTTTTTCTTTATTATATAAAATTTCAAAAAAATATGAATCTATTGAGATATCAATTGTAATTTCTCGTTTAATTGATAAAAGTATCTTTCATCTTCGAAAAGATCTGATTTTTAATTTGTATATGTGTATTATTAAATTTATTGTTTAAGAGTTCAAATGATATCAATTAAACAAATTTTTGTTGTTTATTAAATTCAAATACATTAAATAATCGTACGATTATTAAAATAGATTATTTAATATTATAGAAATGAAACGTAAAACCGTAGATAAAAGAACATTTTATATATAAAAATAAACATCGATCAACTGAAAAATAATTTCAAGCAACATTATTGAATCTTCAAAAAACTTTCT